GTTTCCTGTGACATTTTTAAGTTTTCCAAAGGCTCCAATTTCATCTCATGTGAAGGCAAAATATGAAACTACAAGAGGTTAAGTAGGCTCCAGTCTGCAAGATTCATAAATAGGGACCAACTCAAATCACAATTTCACGGATTTCACTGAAATTGCAAAATCAGGCAATCTCCATGAAATCTGCAAAAAAAAAAAGATGGCTAAAAATAAAATGCTGGCTGCTCAGTGGGAGCCAGAAATCCTCCCATCTGTGCAGCTTGGCAAGCAGGGAACTGCCAGCATGTAGGAAAGCAGCCATGATGACTGCCATCTCCACCCCTTGCCACTGACTGGCTCAGAGGGCTGCCTGTTGTGAGGCCCTGTCCCTCTCCACCAGTCAGCAGCATGAGGTGGAGCCGCATGACAGACAGCTCTCTCAGGCAATCAGTGGCAGGGGGTATGGTCATGGGGGCTACTCACCAATCAGAGGCATGGGGGGCCTGTCATGATAAGTCCACAAAAATGGTGGCAGGTCCTGCGATCTGCCCGCAAAATTGGCCAGCCGCCTTCTCAAGTTGGGTACACCCCCATGGTGCCTATAGAATTTAAAAAGTCATCTCATCAGGCCATTTTTCCTAGTCAAGTGCTTAAGTTTTAGGGAGAGACCACGAAGGTAGGATTAAGGGTGATTTCAATGGTTTCTTATTTTGCCAAATTTAGAATTTACTGCTTTTCCAAGAGATTTTTTTTTACTGAAACTTCCAATAATCTTTTGATTACTTTTTTTAAAATATTCAATTTATTAATATGTGCTGGTAACCTTCCATCTAGTTTATATAAAGTTTCTTTTCTTCTGGGAACATGGGACAGAATCTTTGCATAGTAACCACACACTGACATCATCCTAGTTTAACCAAGGTTCATAAACTGGAAAATTGCTGAATGTAACGAAACATTCCCCTGAGTATGAACCTCACCGGCTGCCTCAGCCTCACTTCATTCCTCCTCTATTGGCTCCCTGATTTACCATTCCTTCCCTGCTCCCAATCTTGTGTGACGCTAACATACAAACATCCGTATGCCGCAGAAATAGACAATATATTGAAACATACCACAATATACACTCTGAAGAAACAGGGGTATTCTCTGCTAATAGTGATTAAATTTATTCTTTTGCCCAGGCATACCAGTCATGGATGTGCCAACTATCCTAGCAGCATACCAACTGCTGTTGCAACAGATACTAAAGGTAATGGAACAGCAGACAGATTAACAGTTGTTATATAAACACTATTTAACTTGGCCATTAGGAATCAATAACTTTAAATGTTTATTATTGTGACAAGGTCTGCAAAGGAGGGATGTGGGCAATGGGGTTCCCCAGGGCTCGGTCCTCGGGCCCGCACTATTCGACATCTTCATCAGTGACTTGGGCGAGGGGGTAGAAAGCACCCTGTTCAAGTTCGCAGATGACACTAAGATGTGGGGGGAAGTGGATACGCTAGTAGGAAGGAACAGGCTGCAAGCGGATCTAGACAGGTTACAGGGGTGGGCCAAAGAGAACAGGATGGGGTTCAACACTGACAAGTGCAGGGTACTGCACCTGGGGAGGAAGAACCAGCAGCAGACCTACAGGCTGAGGAACTCCCTTCTCACCAGCGTTGAGACAGAAAAGGATCTTGGAGTCATCATTGATGCCACAATGAACATGGGCCGACAGTGTGGAGATGCAGTCAGGAAGGCCAAACATACCTTGTCGTGCATCCACAGATGCATCTCAAGCAGGTCCAAGGAGGTGATTCTCCCCCTCTACACGACACTGGTCAGGCTGCAGCTGGAGTACTGCGTCCAGTTCTGGGCGCCGCACTTCAGGAGGGATGTGGCCAATATGGAGAGGGTCCAAAGAAGGGCCACCCGCATGATCAGGGGTCAGCAGGGCAGGCCCTACAAGGAGAGGCTGAGGGTCCTGAACCTGTTCAGCTTCCAAAAGAGAAGGCTGAGAGGGGATCTAGTGGCAGTCTACAAACTAGTCAAGGGGGACAAGCAGGCATTGGGAAAGTCCCTGTTCCCCCGAGCAATCCTGGGAGTTACAAGAAACAACGGACACAAGCTAGTGGAGGGTAGTTTCAGGCTAGACATTAGGAAGTGCTATTTCACTGTCAGGGCGTCTAGGACCTGGAACCAACTTCCAAAAGAAGTGGTGCTGGCTCCTACCCTGGGGGCCTTTAAAGGAGGCTGGACGAACATCTGGCCGGGGTCATTTGACCCCAGTACTCTTTCCTGCCACGGCAGTGGGTCAGACTAGATGATCACCTCAGGTCCCTTCCAACCCTACCAACTATGAAACTATGAAACTATAAATGCAGTATGCAAAAAGCAATTCTGCAGATTGTCAGAAAGAGAGGTAGGAAACCAAATAGCAAATGATTTGCAACTTAAAACCAAACCAGAATGATTACCTAGACAGAAATGTTATGTTTTTTGTTTAGCAGAGGAAACCAGCTGCACTGTGGTGTCTTGTGTAATTCAGAGAAGTCCCAGATCCATTTGTGGACACTTGAACAGTTCAATGGGCATACATGCCAGTGGGAATACTGTCCCACCACAATGAGGCAACAGGGGCCTTAGCTTTTGGAATATGGAAAGTGAGATGATTCTGGGGGAGGTCAGTTAAATGATTAATTATCATGCAACCTAGTCAAAACTTTGATTCCAAAACACCAAGCTGAGGAAATCTTGCAAAAAAATAACATCTCCAGAATTACCCCAGAGTCTCTAGTAATTAATTCTTCAGATCGGACCAACTTGTGGAAATTGGATACTATGAAAAATAGATGTGTTAATTCTCCTTATGCAATAAGAAGGTTGTCATTCAGCAATGTCCAAATTGAAGAAGAGTCATTCTTCTGTGATATCAAAATGCATGAAAGAAAGTATTAAATCAAACTTTCCTATTCCATGTATTTTCATTCACAAGGCAACTTCAAAGATAAACTAGAATAGATAATAGTAAATGAACAAATGAAATGAGTTATATATAAATCACGTTTCAAAATCAATGCAGAATGCAATTAAGTTACTATAAACATTTATTTTCCTTTTCCAACCTCATGCCAGTGTAATGAAGTCATCAAGCAAAATGCTTCCTTTACTATAATGGATACTATATGTCCCAAGCTTCAGAAAAAAATAATGACAAATATTCTATAAATGACTGCTAATGGCAGAAGGACATAGTTACAGAGAAATAAAAATAGTCCAGAGTATGTTTTGTTTTTGTTTTTTACACTGATTCACTCCATGCTGATTTCTCAAAGAGCAACAGTGCCACCTAAGAAAGAGCTATAGCTAATTACCACATGCAGTGTGTAATATCTCTGTAGTTAATACCAAGGGACGTTATAATTCTAACAGTTGCCAAGCAGTTACGGCATGACATTTAAATCTTCATAGGAAAACATGCTTGGAAGAGACTTCAGGTGGTCATCTAGTCCAGTGCCCTGCTCAAGGCAGGATCATCCCTGACCATGCCAGTCAAGTGTCTGTTTAACTTGGACTTGAAAATGTCCATTGAATACCTGACCATACTCATAGTCAGTAAATTCTTTCTGTAATCTGTAAATTTCCTGTGCTGCAATATGGGGCAATTTTTCCTATTCCTGTCCTCTACAGTCACAGTGAAAAGTCTGTTTCTCCCCTGTTTATAATCATGCTTCAGGTATTTGAAAAATGTTTTTATATTCACCCACAGTCTTCTCTTCTCTGAGCTAAATATCCAAGATGCTTCAGTCCTTAGTCATTCATGCTTCCAAAGTCTCTAACCATTGCTGTTTGTCTCCACCGGTTCTTTATTGCAGTATGGGGCCAAAAACTCTCAACACCTTTCTTGCAGTGTGGGGCCTAAAACTCGACACAGTACTCCAGATGAGGCTTTGGCTTCACCAGTGCCAGAGTGGAAGAATCATTTCCCTTGATTTGTAAGAGACGCTCCTGTTACTACAACTCACTATGCTGTTGGCCTTTTAGGCAACAAGAGCATGCTACACTGTTGGCTTATATTCTGTTTATGCTCTACTACAACCCCCTGGGTTTTTCTCTGCAGTACCACAGCCTAGCCAGTCATTCTCCAGTCTGTATTTGTGTCTGAAGTTATTCCAAACCAAGTACAAGACTGCATTTGTCCTTGTGGAATTTTATTTGAGTGATTGCAGACCTTTTTTCGACTCTATCCAGGTAATTCTGGATCCTAGCCTGACCTCTGAAGTGTCTGCGACTCCACCCATCGATATTGCTGTCCACAGATTTGCTAAGTAATCCTATCATCCAAATCAGTATTGTTTCACCAAAATGTTAAACAATACTGAAACACTGTATTGGGCTTATGCCATTTGGACCAGGCAAAATATTTGTAAGGAAACTCAGAAAGAACCACACAAACCTTCCTGTAAGAACCTTGTTCAGTTTTGCAGACCCTTATCTGTTTTCCAGCAACATGTCCTATTCTTTTGTAAAAAAGGTATATGACCCTGTATTTCACCAACATTAAAAACCTACTGTGCTCTACTCTGTTCATACAATCAGAAAAAATGCCATATTGATTGGAGCACTACAATGGGGGAATCTACATTTTGTTCCATGCTTTTCCTAAACTTATCATATGACAGTGAACAAGTCAATTAACCTTTCATCCCTCAATTTCCCCATCTGGAAAATGTAAATAGTAATATATCATTCATGAGAAATGCATAAGTAACTAATTTGATGAATGCTTGCAATTTCCTTGGAGATCAGGTGGAAATTCCACAGTAAACCAAAGTGCCATTATCATTAACATTATAAAATCACTGCTTCTTTTCTCTATGTATAGGACATTCCAAACATACTTACTTATGCAGCAAAAGCTCCACCCTGGCACTCAATAAAGTAAGAGTGGAAGTGCCAGTTTTTCACTGATGCACAGCACTGTCATGTTTTCCATGAGCAATGAGGATGACAATAAAGAAGCAAAGCACTTCACGTACCTGCCAACATTAAGGTTCTCACACACTCTGTTCGGCCTTGCATTGCAGATTTCATCAGTGCTGTGTATCCAAATACATTCCTCTTCTCAATATCAAGACCAGGAAAATAGTTCAACAAGTAGTTTGTAATGGTTATGTGCCCTGTAAAGGAGTAAAACAGAGGGGGAGAAGATTTGTTATTGCTAAATAATACTAGAGTTAACAGTCTAAAACAATGATTCTCAACCAGAGTGATGCAGCACCCTGGGATGCTTTGAAATCCTTCTGAGGATGCTGCGGGTGCCGCTCAATGTTAGCAGTTAAGTGTGCAAACCATGTGTTAAAACATTCTGACCTGCTGTGGTCTTTCTGAGTTCTTTGTAATAGAAAAAATGCTCTATTAAGGGAAAAAACAAGTGAAAAAAGAGCTGGCATTTTCCAAGGAGTCACTCAAACCTACCAAGGGGTATCAAGCCTAAAAAGATTGAGAATCATTGGCCTAACATTTTAGATTATTTGAAACTTTTGATTCTTTTCTTGCATCCTTTCCCACATGCTATCCTAGCAGTGACTACTAAGTGGCATGACTTAGGGATTGGAACATGGGAGTATGAACTTGGAATCCTACCTCCCATTCCCAGCTCTGACTGACTCTGACTGCAGCTGCCCCTTTCCATTCAGAACAATCTACATAATCCTGTAGATTGCCATATATGGGCAGTAGTTAGGAGCAAGTGTGTGGTGTGTCCTGGGTACCCAGACAGGAGTAAGGTGCCTCTTTTCTGGGCCAGCTATATAACCTGTGGATAGCAATGTAGAACAGAGAATAGTCCTTTATGAAACTACTATGGGTGCATTCCCATGAGCATGCACATGTATTTCCCCAGGGACAAATAGCAGTGGCACATATTTGTGCTGCTGCTGCTTGTCTCTAGGGCACACTCCTGCACGCATGCTGTGGCGCACAGCAAATTGCTCCAGGTGGGGTAAAGGAGGTCCCTGGGGCCTCCCAGGGCTGCAGCGGCAACAATCCAGGTACGTGAAGCCTGTCTGGCAGCTCTGGTTTCAGGCTGCGAACACTGTAGCCACGTGCGCGCCCCCCCTTTCAGATAGAGCTGAAAATCCTTAACAGAGCATTGGCAGGGTTGATATTAGACAAAAAAGCATTACTTTAAATATTCCCCTTATACTATTTCTTACATATTCTTTTCCACTGGGCTGTTCCCTAGCAATTGGATATAGGGATTACTTTACTAACTTTACAGTAAAATGTATATGTCTAATATTTTACTGTCAAATTTTAGTTTCCAAAAGTGGCCATTGCTGCCTTTCATTAATTTTTGTGTGTGTGCCACAGTTGTCAGTGTCAGCAAGGATACTCTGAGCAGTGAAAGACTATCACTGGTTAAATGGTCTGAAGACCAATTAAAACATCAAGCCCTTATAATTGGAGTATCAGAACAAGATAAATATCTAGTGCCATTGTGATTAATTCAAAACAGTTTTCCCTTCACTTGTCATTTATTTTATGATGGCTAGATGGTGTATATAATAATGCAGTCTGTCAGGCAGCTGCAACATTCACAGCTTAATTACTGTGAGCTGGAAAAAATATTCTTTGATCTCACTTTGTAGTCCAGTTGAATATTCTCTGATGCATGTGATTTAAATTTACCCAGAAATGTTACTTAAACAGCTCATTATTCATACAAAGCAACTTTTAAAAATTCTCCACTAGTGCATCTGGTGCAGTTTTCATCAGCAGTTGCTTTTCACCAACACAGTTCTATGAGAAGTGACTTTTCTTTACTAGTATGAAATAGTTTGTAGCTAAGGATGCTTTCTCTGTGTCACAATTTCCCTTCCATAGTTTGTCGAACTACATCAATTCTCTTGAACGAATGATTATATTCAAACTACATGATACTGCTTTCTATTAATAGCCAATTTAAAGTCTTATTCCTAATAGCAGAAACTATGGGATTAGCAGTAACTAATTTAGCTAGGATGAGAGCAGGGTAAAGTATGAACTGTGTGTGCAAAGCATAGGCCGTGGAATGGGGTGGGCCACCTGACCAACTTTTAGCATGTCAATTTAGCTAGCTATGCAGTTAGAAAAATAGCTATACAGTTTTAACCAGAATGACAATTGTGCATTTGTGGGTTATATAAATTGACGTGCTAAAAGTTGGTCAGGCCATGGCCTGGGTGGCCCACCCCATTCCATGGCCTATGGTGCAAAGGGACTGTGAGAGAGGCAGCTTGGTGATTCGAAGCTATAGAATGAGGAAGAGGACCAGAGTTTTGTCAGTCTATATTCTTGCTGAATCTCTTATCTAGAATACTTCACTCAAGACAGTTTTTTGTCTTGCACATCTCCTACATAGAAATATGCATAGAATACTATCTAGCTGAGGTGTGTATTTTTCATTACCTGAAAGAAAAACTACCTGAAAACAATCTTACATCATTTATATAATATTATTTCTTCTGTAAATCTTATGAGGTAAACCTTCTTCTTATACATCACATTAAGAGCAACAAAACTAATTTCTCTCTAAAAGAGTGAATTTGCCTTTAAACTTGCGAAGTAGCAGGTAGTACAGAACTCAGTAAATGAAGGAGTCTATTGACAGCTGCCATTGATGATATCATAACCTGTATATAGGCTGAGCATATTTTTTGTGAAATGAGTCATTACCCTCAACCATAATGCCCTGTGATCTGCTTTACTGAGCAGCCCTGTGAGCTCATTCTGATTAGTCCATTAAGGTCTTTTCTATTTAGGTGGTACAGGGCCTCCCACAATGGGGCTTCTAGGCTGTTCAGTGGTATAAATGAAGATGATTATTAAATATGGCTGCAACATGATTCAAATTCAGGCTGTTTCCAGTGAATTTTTCTCTCTGTGCTTTGCAAATGTCATGATTGGCATTTTACAGGTGAGGGGACTTAAAACAGGATGGTGAAATTACTTTCCTAAAATCACATACCAGTTAGGTTCCTGCTCCTGGATACTAACCACTGGATCATCCTGTTTGCCTTATTGATATGTCCATGTACAAGTGGGCATGATGCCATGCACTAGCACTAACTGTCCTGAAAGTATGTGTAATTCCTTGTATGATGAAAGAAAGATGCTTAAAACATCAACATTCAAACACTGTTTTGTGTGTACAAATGTAGTGTCCAGTCCTATACAGTACCAAGTGCTTCCTGACAGATCAATGGATGCTGATGGTACTCAGCACCTCCCATAATATGCTGGAAACTGTTTGATTGGGCATTTACAGCCTCCGTAATGAAACGGGATTATTCTGATTTTGTGAAGCTATGTTCTACAACTTCTAGGTAGCTGCTTTAAAGACTGACAAGTAATGCCATATCAGGCATCCAGGATGCATTTCAAATGACTGAGTGAATAAGGATTCCCATAAGTTAGCAGTACTTCTATTGTTACTGGGTGCCTTTGAGAGTTGGTGGATGCTATCTGGGGTTCTGTGCTCAGTGTCCCCTGAGGGTGCACTTTTTTTAACCTTTGACCCATCTGTACATCCTTGTGTCATTTTTTGTCCCCCATAATCAGTTGGTGCTCTTGTTTTCTCTCACAGCCCCACTGAGTGGCAGCTCTAAGTAACATGGTGGGCATGTACCCATGTGACCAAGGGCATCAAATAGACCTATTGTGTTACTGGGGTCTGATGATGACAAGGCTATTTCAGCAACAGCAGTTTTGTGCATCCTGACCCCAAGATACGATATGAGTTTTCAGCATTCTAATTTATTAAATAAAATCACTATAATTTTCCTCCTTTCCTCCTTTCCTCCCCTTTCCCTTTGTCCTTCATGACAGTTTATTTTCTTTTACTCTTATGTGGCATTCTTTTCTTCTTTTTGCATAATTCCCCCCCCCACACACACTAATTCTTTTTCTCTTGCCCTTATTTCATCATTTCATTTCACATTCTCTCTTCTTCCCTTATTCTCTTTTGTTACCAGTATCTCAATCCTTTCATTCTTCCTCACTTTTTGTCACTCCTTTATGATTTCCATTTTCACAAAACTCCCATCCTTTCTCTATTGCACCAGTAAAACAGCAAAGAGATCCATTTTGTTTCTCTCTGTTGGTAGTAAGAACATTTAAAAGACATGAAGAACCCACTACCACCTTTTGGGTACCACCTGGTTCAAGCTGAACTTGTCATTTTAGAAGGCATGCAGCTTCTGAAAAGAGATGCTAGGTTCTAAGAGATATTGAGAGAGGGGCAGGTAAGATACAGAGGCACACTGGCTTTTTTCAAATTGGAGTCTTATATTACATTGAGTAAAGTGCGGTTGTTTCTCAAAGCTCTGCTTTTCAATCTTCCTTCATTACACTATCTCTATACATTAGCAAATGCTGCATCTTTAGTGTACACATGCCACAAAACTTCCACATCTGCACTCAAGGACCTTCTAGTATGAGACCCTGTGAGATTATTTCTAACAATGCACTTTCCAGCCCTAAAGTGGATAATCACAAAAATGCCTACACTTGTTGGAACCATTTTATATTGACTTCCAATTGATTGGAGTAATGTGGATTTGCCACCAGACACCGCAACACTCTTAGCACAATAACTGTACTTTTGTTTTTTAAAATGCTACTACTTCACTAGTCTAGGAGTTAGTTCTGATGCATATTTTAAATGGGAAACACACTCAGGAAAAAATAAATTTTGTTTTTCACTTTGGAAAAAAAGAAATGCTGTACCACCAGCAAGTATCCTACCTCCCCGACTCAGTCTGGAGCTTCAGATATTCCCAAATCCATGGCAGGGATCCTACAAGCCCAGAGACCTTGCAGTTTAGATGCTCCCTAGCCTTGCTTGCCCCTAACTGAAAGGCCAAAGGTGCAAACTAGGGGGTAAGCCAGAAAGCAATCCCCCATCACCATAAATGTTGTAGCCAATATCCAATAGCTGTAAAAGTTATTCATGATATTAATCCAAAGACAAAAGGATGCTCATGATTTACCATATAGTTCATTGGGTTAGGCCCCCGCAGTGTCAACAGTGTTTCTAGCAATGGTGAACTGATTGCTGTCCATTGCATAGTATGTGCATGCACTCCAGATACCGATCACACAGGATCTATCTGCTCATTAGTCCCCAACCCATGAC